TGTGTGATTGGATTGAAATTATGCAAGTATGACAGTTTAAGAATTCAGCGTTGTGTTACATCCCAATTGGAAATGTGTTTTCTCGGATAATTCGCAAACAGTAATCACTGAATAGAAAACACTCTGTAGAATTTATGAAACTCATTAACTGACGCAATACTTCTGCAGGCATTATACTGTTTCCTCAATAAAGCGAGATTTGTATATTTCAGTTGCATAAAACGAGTAAGTGGTATCCTGGCAATACCAATGACTACAACAAGTCTGGGAATTATGCACTACAACTTTTGCTTTAATGAATACTCCAGCAGATTTTAAATAAACACCTGACAAATATCAAATTTATACAGGAAGTCAGTAAGATTTACTAAACTAAAAGCACTTTCGGTTTACCTAGGAGTTCTCCATGCCGAATTTATTCCTCCAAGGGCCTACACAGATTACAACTTAAATTAAATAACATTGACGTTGAAGAAATTCCATTCTTCATTACTAAACTTACTGATATTGATAATTGTGTTTTTTATTCTAGAAACAGGAGCATTCGTAATGTTTCACTTTGTGTAAATGCAGTTAGATACAGTTGCACTAAGAACTCAATGCAACTCGGTGCACAATAGTATATACACAAATAAACTGAAAAATAACGTCCTCCTTACCTTCTGAACAACTTATCCTTATTACAGGATAATAACTTCCTTTCACGTATGAGCCTGAGTTATGTATATGAAATCACAACATTACATCAGTTAAATATTCCCCCAAAACCAAGGCGACTTGAAGCCAATAGCAACATAGCAACAAGCGTCATTGTCGGGATATGCAATAAAGTCGCTCAAGATTTAATGCCGTACACAGCAAATTTATGTAGCGGAATTCACTTCAAGCTAATTTTTTTCTCAAGTATTTGTGATCCATCCAAGAGAGACTTGGGTTTTTTATTAATGCGGATACAATAGTTCTATGTTTCTTAATGTGCTGCATTGCCTGACTAGTCGGCATATTGTTCCCACAAACTGTAGTCGAAAAAAACACCGAACACGTAGATCCACCATAAGCCACATTTGTGTAATTGAAATAATTCTTTTCCATATCTGTTTAACTGATGTGTTCCTTCATAAATAAGAATAAGTGATTTTAATTTCTTTTGTGTTTAACTTTATTTTCAGAACCTATATTTAGCGTTCTCCTTAACATCGCTAAGCTAGAAATAATGCTGGTAAGGAGGAAAGGTTGGGCATCAGGCTAGCAACCCCATCCTGAAAAAATAACCTGTGCTACAGAAACTTCAAGCCACTAGCTTGAAGCCCTATGTTCCACTGAGAACGTGAAGGAAAAAATATTTAGCGTTACCCTCTATAGGTATGAACAATCATCCTTTCTTTAGTTTTGCTGCTACACACCTAGTCTAATCGTTGGTGCGAAAGATTATAGAATCCTATGAACTGGAGTCCCTCATGCGCATAAAGTCAGAATACATTTTTCTAACATGCATTTTACTGTTATGTGAGGGAATTGACTTCAAGCTTTATTTATTTTCCCAAGTATCTGTAATCCATCCAATGCATACTTGGGTTCTTTGTTAATGCGGTGTCAATATCTCTATATTTCTTGATGTGGTCCATTGGATCACAAGTTATCCTTTTTTCCCCATAAACGAAAGACAAAATCACAGCAACCATGTTATTCAACTGTAATTCATGCAATGTTATTATGTAATTTAAATAATACCTATTCATGCTTATACAACTGGTGTGCCCTACTTGGGTAGAAATAGATATGTACCTTATTATATTATCATTGCTAACGATGCTTACTAATCATATGTGTAATTTATCGGATTGATGATGCTTATAAACCGGCTTCCCTCATGTACAAAATGAGAATATATTATTAGTATTTTTACACTTATTCACTTGCACAAGATATAGGAAGCTAGAAGTGTTGCTAGATATCTAGTCTTCATTATAGAGTAACGACAGTCGCTGATAAAATTCTGAAGCCCATCGAACATACATTCTGCAACCCTCCAAGTCTCTGAGCCAGACAGGAGCGCTGAGTAGACATTAGTAAAGGAGATCCGTATCTTGGTCTGCACGCGGGGGATCCAATGACTTATCAGATGTTAGAGAAGAGTTCATTCTGACGCAAACCGTGTGAAGGATAATTTTATTCGGATGTGACATTTCAAGGATTATGCACAAATCAAAACAGCTTACAGATTGTGGTTTGTATCATAGGTACACTTCCAACTGCATACTACTATAGAGTAAAAATTCGTGTTCAAGAGGAATACTGTGCCATCACAGTTTGAAAAATGGGATATTCTCAGCTGGAGGAAGCTGTGATTACTGCTTGTCGAGATGCATTTTACTTAGATAGCAGCTTCACGGGCAGATTAGTATCTGATGTGAAACCATAATTTTCTTTGCTTTTTCAAGTTTCGCAATTCAGACAAAGGTATCATACTTATTCATACGAGTAACTTTCACAAGTTCTACACCCATAGAAGTGGCTGAGAATCCTCGCTAAACTAGACATTGCATGTGGATGCTTCGTAAATATTACAATTATGATGTAAATTTCAGGAAAATTTATGATTTTTCCTAGGTGCACACCTTGCTGCAGCCTTTGCAACCTTTGCCACTAAGAAAGTAGTTCCAAACTTCCAAAGGCGTATATTTTACTTCCGTTCAAAATCCTCAACCTCGGATTTCAGAGTTCACCAGGTTGGACAGTTTTCTATTACATGAACCGCAGGCTACATTACGAATATGATATGCTCCTGTGAATCGTTTATTTTTGCAAAAATGTTAGTATTACCTTACTGTTTCCGTACGTATCAACAATATAAATATCTCCGCCCAACTTGTTTTTACACTTCCTTCTCATTCTCATGCCTTAGAGTGACAGTTTAAAACAGACTTCGATTGATTATTTTGTGATGAAAGCAGCTCGGGAGTGAGTTAGAAATTAGAACGATCTGCGCCTTATTTACTACTTTTAATCAGCTGGAGATCACTGTTTCACAACGTATCCTGAATGATGGTGACTAATAGGATCCATCGCTTATACCGTAATTCTTGCGAAGGAGCACTGGCCACTGAATCTCGGCTGAGTTCTGAAATAAGACTGGTAAGTAGAAACGCAGTAGGTTCTGAGCTACTTTTGAAAATGCTTACAGGGAGTGCAAGGTGCTGAACTAATGCAAGTCATGCTGAAAACCAGCACACAGTCCCATTGTGTGCGCATTATCAAACCATTTCAGAACAATTTCAGGATTCTCATAGTACAGTACATGAGGGACGCCAGTTTACAGGCATCATCAAATTGTTACAGAAATAGAACCATATAATTCAATCACAATTTACAGGCAGTAGCAAGACATGCTTTACATGTTCGCTGGAGATTATACATACACTTGATAAATGTTAATCCCAGTAGTATAAAACAGCCTTTTCACTTATATACAATCATTTCTGTGCACAGTTGGAAAAAAATCTGCTAGATTGTCAGTGAGTGCATTACATCAGGAAATACAGAAGTATTGCCTTCGCATTAACAAAAAAACCAGGTCTTTGGTGGATGGATTATAAGTGCCTGGGAAAAAAATAAAGCTTGAAGTCAATTTTCATACATAACTTCGTTGTGTGCAGAATCCTTGAATTATAGTTCATTGATGTGTTATTTTGAAATCAGTGATATGTTTATCTCATTTGATCTGCAATGTCATTGTTGGGAGTAAATATATAAGCTTCAGACGCACTAATTAATGGATTTCTACTGCTTGTGGGTATTTTCTTAGCTTGAGGAGGGTTTATGAAATTCAGCTGTTCCGACGGGAGTTGAGAATATTAACTGCTCAGCAACACTATTGATATAAGTTCATCACATTATCTAAGGAAAGGTGGGTTGCAGTTGGTGAGGGATATATGGTGCCCAACGAGCGTACATCTGTCCATGTGATGTTGTGGTGAGTTATACCTTTTTCATGTTGTCGGTTTATGTCCATTTTATTCCACTTATTGTGTTGGGTAGTAGTTTTACAAACGAGATTTCTTGTCTGTTTGAGGATACGTATCTTAACCGTTAATGTTTTATCTAGAATTATAAATATAGGCAAAAACAACAGGTGTAGTATTTAAGCTTATGCATTAAATGGACCTATAATTTCGGAGGCTCTCAGATAGGAACTAGAACTTCTATCGTTTGCAAACTCTTGTAGTTTGTCATTAGTCACCTTTTTGAAGGAGGCCAATGTACTTGCTTGACGCATTTCCATTGGTAGTTTATTCCATATCTGTGCATACCTAATCAAGTAAAACTTTTGCCTGGTGGCCGTTTTACATTGTTCGATAGCTACTGTACCCTTTACTTACTCAGCTTAGAAAGTCAGAGTTATTCCATATTAGTTTGTTTATTAGATATATCACACACTGAAGCAGTATTATTTACTGTATAACGTTTTGAACAAAATTTATTGTTCATAATCATATCAATTTTGTGTTTTACGCATATATTAAAGTCAGAGTTAGTTCGGAATTTGCGGAAGTTGCTTCATCATTATTGTGCACTCGGAGGGTTAACTAGACTGCAATAAAATTTCATTTTGTGCTATGAACAGTTTATTATCTTAGCCTAGTATACACGAATTAGCTTGGTGATTGCTGGTTTGCCATAGTTCTTAACTGTCAATTTAATAACTGTGAACTTGAGACGAAAAGTAAGCTTTATAGTAGCATCCACTGACAGAAATTGATATCGACACGTTAAAATATGCAAAATATCAAAAACAAACCCTCACATTTCAGTGGCAAACTAGTTCACGTAAAAATATGACCAGTAAACGCAGGAACCCACCATGACCTTAAATCTGGAAATACCGTCTTCCACAAGACAGAGGGAAGGATTCTCGTTTCCCAATTAACAGATGTGTAACTTTGAAAAACGGACCTAAAAAACAGTTTAAAAACGATGCTTTAGAATTTCAGATCACGCAAATGTCGTCGAACGCTTTTGAAAATTTATTCATTGTTTCGGTTTGTTTGAATAACCATAACGTATTAGCGGCAGATTGTAATGTTGTTATCTGCTAGTAATAACAATGTCTGTTGCATTGTCTGATATATGCAGCTGTTCAGCTTTTGGATATCAATAACTCAGCGGCTGTTGTAAGTCTATTGCTTGCATTCATACGTTTGGAATTTTATGGGTTGTATTTAAAAAGGTGGAATATTTCTAAAAATTGTAGGAGAGAATAAACCGGTTATAAATATTGGTTTAAGCTGTTTACCTAATGGTGTTCATTAAACTTAAATACTGCGTTCGCCCTTCGGATCTTACAAGTAGTTCATTTCAGATGAAGGATTGATGTTTCCTGGGGCGTAGTTTATTGGAAATGTCTTTTGGGAAAGTTCTACGGATGTTTTTCGGAGTAAAACTACCCCAAACAAACACAGATGTACTGAAAATTCCACGAGATATTTGGACGCTGAATAGAAGAATCTTCAGTTATTGGCTGTGATACCCTAAATAACCTGTCATTTAAATGACTGCCGGTAGAAATTTATTTGAAACAGTCTCATAGTTGTGAGCACAATATTTTCGGTCATGGGTTGTTGTCACCTGCGGACAATGGAACCAGGAGAAGACATCCGTTTTTTCTCAGTAGTGTACTTGCTGTGATCATAAAACACTAATCAAGCTTATTTTCATTAAGGCTAGAAGATTCTTCATTTTATAAACAGAAGTTAAAAATATGTCGAGCTACTGTATCTCGCAAATGTTACCAGTGACCACAAAAAGTCGTATTTTATCCTCGTATTTCACCAAGCCCATGGCTTCTACATTATGTTTTGATATTCAGGTGGTAACACTTATCTACCCATAGCCAAGATATGTTACTGTCCACGCAATTCTATTTAATTAATAATAGAGACTTACACCAAATCGACAAGATATTGTTAATTGTTTGTATCCTTCAGTTTGTAGTCATCTGACTCATAATACCACATTGTGTGGGTATTTTTCATCCTTTTTTACTTTCTGACAAGTTTAGTGCCCTCTACAATTTCTTGCGCAGAGATAGCACTCAGCGCTTTAAATTGAGAGGTGTCATGTAAGTATCTGGTTATGAAAGAGTTAGTGAACTGTGTCTTATCGGTAATATTTCACTGGTCAAAGTCTTGGGTGTATCAAACACTCAAGTAATTTTTCGTCTGGTGTGACTGAAACAGGTGTTGTTTATCAAATATGACCACCGTTGTCTTTATTATTTAGTGTATAGCCGTAGATATGGTAACTTTGGTCAGCTTTAACCCATTAGGAATGGGTGTGCAGTAGTTTTGGATTATATATGACAGTTACATTTAGTGGTGAAAAGGTGTGTAGCTTTCGAAATGTTATCAGTAAACATTTATTAATGTCAAACACAAGTTTTACATTAGCAGTTGTAAGGTGATTCCAGGTTAGGGCTGGCTTTGCTCACGGTAATTGCCAAATTAGTCTGATGTTTCAATCAATTTGCTTATTCGAGGAGATTGGGTAAGAATCAAGTATAAAGAACTTGGTTATCAACTATGGGATAAAATTAATACACACTGGTCCGCTGTCCTGATGTATGGCTCCATCACATAGTGTTTTCCGTTCAAAAGTGTACTTTCTTCACGTTTGACTGTATTATGGAGAAGTGTTGATATCAAGTTCGTAGTCCTAAGTAAAGAATATGATTTAGTTAATGAATTCGGGAATTCGTACTGAATAAGGTTTGTAGAGGTTGTGTTACGCATTGTAAGTCACTTTTATTGACAAGAGACTTCAGGAATAGATGGCGATGGAACCAATGGATGAATTAGAAGTGCGTAAAACGTCTAAATTGGTTTGAACTGCCAAAGTGACTGGAATTCTTGTGAAAGCTCTGAGACTCGACTAAGAACCGATTACAGTGTTGTAGATGTATTTCCTCCATATTATCATTTAGCTATTGAACTTTTCCAGTTGCTTTGCGTTTCGTTGTTAGTTGTTTATCATATCATTCCAGTTTACTCTTAGTTTTGTGTGGTAAAACTTAAACTGTGACATTTCTGGACAAAGTTCTTCATTGACCTCTTTGACACTCGTTCATTTGTGTCAAAGTAATATCATTGAACTCATCACTTATTCTTTTGAATATTTAATGTGGATGTTGATAGTTTTTCCCTGTATGTTCACGAATCGGTCATAAAAGTGGCGATATTTATGTATTAACCAGCTATTGTTTTTGTTGACTAAATAACTGGGGTTAAGTGCATTTTGATTCTTAAAGTGTGGTCTCTCATCAACCATCACCCAAACTCATGGATGTTGGGCTAATAAAAGTATTAAGATTAATACAAATATGCGATTGGAAAGTGCAAAATGTGGCGCATCTAAGTACAACACATACACTTGAATTTTCACAGCAATCACAGGTATTCTTTGGTTATATTTACTGGTGATTTCAGAAGCAATCAAGTCAAACTTTGTATACCAGTGTATTTCCCATTTTATGCAAATTAGGATAGCACAGAGTAGTTTACGAGGATAATTATGGACTCGTTGTTCGAACATCAAAAATGCTACACGAAATGGATAGCTAGATAACTGTCAGTAAATATCCCTTTTTGTAGATATTCTGTTATCTTGGCTTTCAAACCTTTATTGATTGTAGCTACCTGGTTCTTCTTTGATACGCATTAATGATCAGTCCTAGCTTATATTCGTCTATATTGTACGGTGATGGAATGTGTCGTGTAAAATACCATCTCTCTTTCGTAAAAAAGACTAACTTCGTCATATTAAATCCACCTGTATGATTTTTTCGATGTATCTAGTTTTTGACTGTAGGTTAAGCTACCACTTGTTTCTTAGGTTTATTCACTGTTTCTGTTGATTAGGTGTTTTGCAGTCAGTGAGTTTCGTAGAACCTGCGTAGAGCTTAAGTTGTCTTACTAACCGTTACTGACTGAAACAAAAATCTATGTTACATGGTTTCCACGCTAGCTCTCGTTCCTGACTGAGAGAGCTGTGAAACACTGACAAATGGCAAATCAACACAACAGTCCTTCACCTCGTAGTGCTATTAGCTGTCCGCCTATCGTCTTCTGAAGTATTTCTGGACTAACGAACAGCTGACGGTATGGCAGCCTGTAGAACAATATTCCCATCTCATCTCCAAGTTGTCGATGCACCTTTCATGACATAAAATTATCTATAAAAGACGTTCTCTAACTAATCGGGACACGACGTTAGACCTCAGTGCTACCTATATAACTTCACAATTGTATCCATGATGCCCTATTTGGAGGTAACTAAACAGTTGTCTGACATACTCAGCTTGAAGGCTCCAGTCCTCACAGGTGTATCATGGCTGTTCCGTAATGAGGTTTGCCGTATTGGTTTCTTATAGGCGATTTAAAATGTCATCTGTTCCAGTTCCAAGATCACCAACACCCGTACCCAGATACACGACAATTTCAACTTCTGCTGCTAAAGTTTCCATTTGGAATGGTGAGTCAAAATAGGCATCAGGTAATCTTGTAAAAGTGTTTTACAAAGAGTTTTGTGACCTATTTTCTAAATATATTAAGAGAAAGATTGGATCATTACACCGGAGTTTATCATCTTATTTTCCAAAAATAGAAATCGTTTCGTATATCAACCGAATCAAATAATCAAAATAATAAAATGCCAAGTGTAACTACAACAAATACTGTCAATACTGCGGGAATTCGTTTGATGCGCAAAACTTCGTGTGCTGCTGGTGCTAGTAGCGGTGGTGGTGGCACTGGCGCTGGTGGTGGTGCAAATGATCAGTCAACTAACTCTTCATCACACCAAAATCCAGACAGAAAATCACTAAGAGATCAACCAAATGTTGGCAAATACAAGTTAATTCGTACACTTGGTCGAGGTAATTTCGCAAAAGTTAAACTTGCTCAGCATGTTTCAACTGGACGAGAGGTAAGGAAGATATATTCAACTGTTTGTCTTTATTGTATGTTTCATACAACAATGAAACCAAAAAATAGTAGTACAACTTTTTTTTTTTAGTAGAATTATTTTTCAGAAGTATATTGACAATGTACTGAAAAACACGCCACTATAGCAGTATTATTGGAGCATCCTTCAGTACTAATAATGATTATAATGTTAGCGCTATGAGTTATTTATTGATTTTAACCTTTCTTTTTGTGTGTTTTGTTAAATACTGCGTGCAATAACATTCACAGCTGAAGAATATTGCACTAGGGGGAAAAACAGGCTCATTACTATTGAGAGTTGCTTGGTTTATTTAGTTAGTCGGTTATCAATTTCTGTTAAATATAATCTCACACAAATACACATTAATATCGATTAGAAGTTTACAGTAGAACACAGGAGACTGAATGTTTTTTTGTATTGCAACAGTACACTTTCCTTATGCTTTTGTAGTGAAAATACATTGCTTTTCAGTAATAATATTAACCCATAGAATAGAGCTGTATTTGCTCACAGATTTAATGAGAATTTTAATTAGCGCTTTTGTAAACACTGTCTTTCATTACACATTATTTTAAAAAAAAGAATGCTATAGAAAAACAAAGTACGAATTTACGTCATTTGTATAGCACTGGCTACAGAATTGCTCTTCTAGCGCGATCTTTCATGTATTGGTTGGGTAACAGTCAAAATCGTAACCCAGTAAGTGTAAGTTAAAACCATAGAGAAGCTTTGTAGCTCAGGTGAAGTGATTTTGATGTGGTTGCCTCCTCCTCCTCTTCAGCTGTGAAGCTTTCGTTGTCTTTCTATACAACATCTTCAGCGCAAGCTTTTCACGAAGTAAACTTGTTTGAGTTCTCCTCTGAAAAGTATTGTTGTGATTGATTGTTAATTAGTGAAATAAAGCACCAAAGGTCTATTGTTGTAGAAGAACCGTATTTAGTGTTTCCTAATAACTTACTGATATTTGTTGGAGAAAAGTTCACTTGAAAGCGATTCTTTTTCTCCTTATTTTGTACGTTATCAGTGGCATGTGACCTTTTCAGATCTCCTTCTTGAGTATGAATTGCCACTCACTTTTTGTGATTTTCAATACTTGTGTTAAGGAAAATCAATTTATTCATCATGAACCGTTCAGTGTAGTCATCATACATCATACTAGATAGAATACTGTCGTGTTCTTGATATTCTTACCCGAGAGTCGATAGACTTTAGTATTGTTCACAAAATACTCTCACATGTGGCCACGCGTTCACAGCCTCTGCCAGTTAAATCCTATTCGGTGTCTTCTCACAAAAGACAAGGGGCGAGTACGAATGTCTGGCGCGCTTACAACCTGACTGTGACAGACAGGCTGGCATACCTAGGCGACCTGGAAAGCTCTGATTCCATACCTATAGTGTACATAGGTAGGCTACAGAATCCCAGTGCATCCTATGGCGTGTAAAGCTGTTTTGGTCACCGTCAACCATGGAAACACAACTCCTGACACTGCTTCACTGCCATGTGGGTTAGCATTCAAATCAAAGACTAAGGATGTATCCCGTTAAAACAACCATCTGCTTCGGTCTGGGTTTCTGAGGTGTATACTAGCTATTGTAAAACCTATGCGATTTTGTGTGGTACATCTCTTGGCGCTCATAATATACCACTAAGTTATTGGTTTACGTTATGACTTTGTTGGCAAATTATCGAGACATTTCGATGATTGTCTCTTCTCCACACGACAACCGAATACAATAAATGAGACCATTGGTGAAGATCTGTTGAGGGGTAGTTGTGTTTCCACTAGCTTGAAATCCTTAGTAAAACATTCAATAGGGAGATTAATTTAGCGATGATTGCACTCTCAGTTTACTTCATATGATTGTTTAATTCCTTCGTGTGTTTTTTTTTCCTAAGGAGATAGTATGCTTTTTTGTTTTATTTTCATTCAATTATTTTTGCTCTAAACCCGATCATAAAATCTCTCTCTAGTGTGTTTCTTGTTTACTCTACTATCCTTCCTACTCGACTGTAGGTTGCTGTGAAGGTGATCGATAAAACTCAGTTGAATCAAGCCAGTTTAAAAAAGGTAAGTTAATCGTGTTCAACTGTTTTAAGAGCAAATAAATCACATATAATATGATTATTAGACTATTATTATTATTATTGCTATTTGACTAGACTGAAAAAAGGTTATTGACTGGTGGTACAGTTAATACTGCCTTGTTTGATGAATTTTGTTATTGTCTTACGCTACTTAGGTTCTGTCTGTTGTTTCAATTGTATATCGTGCTACCGTTATTGTTTTAGTATTAACATCACAAATGGTAATTACATTGATGATGACTATACACCTTTTTGATGAATGTTCACTTTTTTTTCATTGTAGTCGTCTTGTGTTCTTCATATGCACACACACAAACACACGTGTTTTGCAAAAACAAAGTAAAAAAAAACAGTTTAAGAAAATATATAAGCATTTATCATTACAAGATGAAAAAAAAATGTTAGAAAAATGAACTGTCTATTAAAAAATCAATATTATTGATTATTGTTCAGCCAGTTGACACGTGCCAGTCTCTGTGTGTCTGTGTGTGTTTTCTACAGGTCGATAATTAGTTTTATTGTAATTATTATTATTCAGACACGGAGCATATATGTATATATCTTCGTACCACTTTAATTGAAGACATCTTGTTCTTCTGACAAGCTGCTAAACTGACTGACTGGTTTCAACATAGAACTAGTTTGCACAGATGTGCACCAGTTCAACTCGACACACTCCCTCCCTGTACCACACAAACCAAGACAACAGAATAAACACAGATTCAAAAAAGAGATAATAGACAGAAGTGTGAGTGAGGGAAAAAGAATAGGAGTAATATGAAAGAACAATAGAGTTTTATTGGATATGACAAATCACTCACAAAGAGTGATGAATGCATCTTCACCATCATCGAGAAGGACGACTTTCAGACATATCCATTGGTTGTTACCATCCCAAGGACTCCAACCAGTCAGCTAGCCATCCAGTCTACACCCCCCCTACGTGGCCGACTGGCTCAAACTAACTATTATGGATTCCATTGACTGATGAAACCGTGTTTTCGTTTGACCACCACTAGCTAACTCTTTTCCAACTTGATCGACCCTATGTCAGTCTCCTAACATTGCCTGTCGTTGAGGAAGGTGATCGATGGCTAGACATGCATGCGTAACACATGTCCTAACCGTCTCATTCAATCGATGTAACTGCTTCATAACCTCGTCGATTGATTTCCCCTCCATACTTAGCGCTCGACCGAAGCCTAACCACCTCAATATTACTCACTCTATTATACCACCACCTTAAACGGGAGATAGAACGCAGACACCTATGACCAAAGACAGCTAGCTAACCTTTTCATGTCTTCCGCTTATAATGGTTACATCTTACTGATAGCCATAAAGGAGGACGTACCGAACTGCTGCTGTGCACTACACACGTCCTTTGATCAATAGCCAACCGGATATCACGTCTACTAAGCCAGAGATGACGTATGCTGGCAAATGCCCAACAAGTCTTGTATATCTGTGCTGAGATTTCGTCGGCGATGAAGGTGTTAAAACGTTTATAGGCTGTAATAAATGACACAGAGATGCCTGTATGATTCATTCAGTAGTTTTCAAATCTCTCATGGTTAAATTATACACCTTTCATACCATAGATTTTATTTTGTTTTTTACTTTATTGAATTTAATGAGTGACAGTATGTTGCACGAAAACAAATCTCACTGGATAAAGGATTTTTTCTCCCTCGACAACTGGGATATTGAGAGAATGGTAGAGAATGGTTTATGCTTGGGTTTGAATTTCCATGTGTCTCATATATATTTTTACTAATTTGAGATTACAGAAATCACCTGTATGTCTGTGAACCGTCGTCATCGATGTGTTTTCTTAGCAAAAGTAGAACTAGGTTAACGGGTAACCGCTAGATTATTCAAATCAATAAATGTGATATCGTTTTGTTATCTCTGTTTTTGTTTTTTTGAACTTGCCTATATACTTTTATGAATTGTTTAGAATTGAACGGTCATCGAATTCGACCAGTTCTCACACTGCTGATATCTGTCTATTGATTGAACCCTACTTGTGGAGTGATTCATTAAGATAGTTTTCAGGTTTCTTATACTACCTCATGTGTATAAAAACAAGCCTCAATAAATCTAGTACTTATTATTGATACACTGCGCATCATATACCTGTTCATTAGTAGTTATATATACACTTTGATTGGACACCAGTTACTAATCAGTGTTCAATCAAAGTATCCAATACAGTCCTACAAGGGGTCGGTCGCAAATCCGAATAGCCCAGTGGTGACGTCTCTGACTGCAGCAGTGGTGACGCGGGTTCGAATCTCAAAAGGGACATGAGTTCCTTCACTGTTACAGAAACGCCTTGCTGACTGGTGGGTATGTACTAGCACGGAGCCTAGGTCAGGTAGGGTTTACTACCGATTGTCTCCAACCACTATATATATATATATATATATGGGGGAGTTAAACAATAGCGTCCCAGGGGTACGAACGCCCCAATGACCTTGAACGCATGCTAGTCGTTGGCTAAGGACACCTGCCATTACTGTAGCGCGAATATGAACGCTATTCACCAACTAAGGAGCAAACTTCACCTAGATCAATTTTTTGAGTACTGTTTGGACAATGGGTTATTAGCTCGTTTGGGTTAGGATTAGGGTTAAGGTAGGTATTACGGTTAGGATAAGGGTTTTAATTAGGGTTAGGGTTACGAATAGGGTATTATTTATTTTAGTTTGTCTCATTAGTAGTCATCGATCCTCTTACTGGAAACCATAGTAATTCAACTGAAGGCTTTGGGGAGGACTGCAAAACAAGATAAGAGTGATAAACGGATAAGAAAAAAAGCTTACCTTAAGTCACTTCGTTGAATACATGTATAGAAACTGGTCTAACTTAAAAACTGATACTCCTCACTATAACTGGCATGTATTTTTAAGTGATGTCATAGAAAGATAACCTGTTTAATGTGTTTTCATGCATTGCCTTGTAAATAAACGTCATTTTTTGTGCAAAACTCACAAGGTCACTCGTGCGTTCGCATCCCATGGGACGCTATTGTTTAACTTTGCCATATATATATATATGACACGAATTGGCAGAAGTTGGGATTCATGGATCATTGTATCGGGTCCCAGTGGCTGAATGGCCTACAAGCTCCCCTCTCCACTGGAATGTCTTAGGTGGATGCCTACTGCCGATGAGTCCCAAACTAAGACGAAACAAATGTCCAGTACTCCTAGTTTTTCCAGTGATTCACTGACTGATGTCAAGCTCGTGATCAAACTTCTAATCAATCAAATCCACGCATATCAACAATTGATAATTGACCGCGAAGTAATTTGGAAACTACTCAAGTACTACGGCGTACCCGAAATATTCATCAACCTTATGCAACAGCTGTACGACAACGACACATGTCAAGTGATCCACAACGGAAAACTCAGCAAGGCGTTTGGAGTAAACACACGAGTCAGACAAGGGTGCTTATTATCACCAATGATATTCCTAATTGTGGTGGACTGGATTATGCGCCTGACAGTGGGAAACGAGAAGACAGGACCGACGTGAAGAACCTAGAAGACCTGGAATTCGCGCGTGGATGATTTATGTTTGATGTCACACAAAATCGAAGACTTACAAGCAAAAACCGACAAACTGGTCGAAGAAGCAGCAAAGACAGGACTGCAGGTGAACATAGACAAGACGGAGGTTATGAAAATAACCAACCAACAACAACAACAACAGCATCAACATCCAACGCTAATCACCATCAACGGGAGGGATTTGAAATAGGTCACTTCATTCATTCACTTATCTAGGGAGCATTGTCTCAAATACAGGAGGAACGGACGAGGATGTCAAATCGAGAATCGGGAAGGCGAGAAACACATTCATCAACCTGAAACCAATCTGGAAATCTTCGTGACTCACTCAGCCTGCATCAACAACAAAATTCGGATTTTCAATACAAACGTCAAGTCACTTCTTCTATACGGATCAGAAACTTGGCCAGTGTGTCACAAAGAATATTTCCAACAGCCTGTTGCACACCTTTATCAACAACTGTCTTTGTTCTATACTGAAGATCAGATGGCCAGAAAGAATCACCAACAAGAAACTATGGGAACAAACAAAACAAGAAGCAATCGCTCAACAAATATGCAGGAGAAAGTGGAGATGGATTGGACACTCTCTCGCTGAGGAGGCCGTTGGGTGACATCGCGCGTCAGGCCAGTGCTCGAGTGGAACCCGAAAGGGAAGCGGCGAGTGGGACGTCCAAGGGTGACATGGAGGAGATCGTGTGAAGAAGAGTTGAAACAGTATGGACTAAGATGGATGCAAGTGAAAAGTACAGCAGAAGACAGAAGCAAGTGGAGACGTGCAGTTGAAGCCCTATGTTCCACTAGGAGCCCAAGGGAACAATAATAATAATATAAACCATGCAGGATTCAGTAAGTAATGCCTCATTAGTTTCTAACATGTACAGATATGAGTTCCTGTATTCCTTTCCAAATGACTTTATATATGCGTATTGCTGATGAGGCAGTTATCCAGATAGTAGTTCTGGTGGTAGATATTTCATAATCTTTTTAAACTATTTCCTAGACGTATCTACGGTTTTCTTTCACAATTCTTTTCGTAATGTCTAATATGTACGAATATAAAGTAGTGTTAAGTTTGATGACTACTCTCCACGAACACGTGTTCACAATCGCATATTGATGCATTTAGAGTTTCATTAAGACAGTATACGGTTCACCCACCATTTGTAAGTTATCAATCCAAGTTTTTTTTTAAAAATACATACATAAAAAAGCTTTTTGACTGTGAGGCCAGTAAGGAGAGAAAATGAATATTTCAATATTACAGCACATATGTGGACAAAATTAAGAAATTTGATACATTTCTAAATATCTTTATGCTTTCATTTTATCTCAAAAAAAAAATTGAAAAAAAGTTTATCCACTTGTAAAAGTGGCATACTGTCATAGACTTCAGTGTTGT